CGGATTCTATGAATTATCCCTGGTTTGAGACGTTTTGAACTGACCACTCTGAACTGACTGCTCACTAAGATCGATGCCGGTATTTTAGTTAAATTAACCCTGCATTTAATCTTTGTCTTTGAGAGGAATCAGAGTGCACGGAGTAGCACTGTATACGTGATAATTTTTCATACTGTTTTAATTTCTATTATTTAAGTGTTCGTATTATATTTAAAATTCGTCACGATTTAGAGATTGGGATTTTAGAATTTTGTTTTTGTTTTTCTTATACACGACCAATCTGTGACACCGAGTCATTTATATTTGGATTGGTGTCTTTGAATAGATTGTCACATCAATAAGAGGTTTGTTTGGACAAACCATGTACACTTAGTACACAGAAACACCTAATCAATACACCGGCTGGTGATTGAAAACCCTTTTCCCACACCTGATTGTTGTATTGCACAATTATTACCGAGGTAGTGACTACCGAGATTTATAATTTTTTTTCACAGTAGAATCTGAACTTAGTAACTTCTTCACGTCCTATAGAGCACACATATTTAATTTATTTATATTTGTCGAGACAGAGCGCAACTCACTTGCGTTATAATATGTACAGATTATAGGTCACATTAAAGGTAGAAAAAAAAAATCCTGAAGTGTTTTGGGTTTTTTTTTTTCCTACGTCTCTAAAACATGACATTTTTACATGGGTGTTTAGGCTTTTTATGCTTTGCTTACACATGTTTCATCATATGCTCAGGCTTAACAATTGTCTTTTTTTTTCTTCTTTCAGTCAGGTATATTTTGCCTATTAATATATGATATTTACCTTGAGACATCAGTTGGTGTTTGACTCCTTGTTTTCTACAGTGATTTACTTTTATGCTTTGAATAGCATTTGTAATTTGATTTTCTATCTACATTTGTTCACAACACACAGCTGGATGAGACAGAGGAGGAACATGACCTTCTCCCAGTCTGCTGTCTGGATTTTTAGCTAGAAGCAAGCAATCAAGTTAAAATTAAGTGATGCGCTTTCGTTTTTGTTAAAAGGAACTGCATGTTCAGCAACCCAATTATTATGAGGATAGGGAGGGGCTTCAGAGGTACTGTTAGTATACATTTGTATATCTAACCTCTTTCTGTAGTTTTAACAAATGTTTTGAGACAAAATTCAACTTTAGAGTTATGGTGAAAGATGGCAAATTATTTTTAATTCGTTAATATGTTTGTTAGTTTGTTATGGTAATTTTTGTATTTATGATCTTGAATTATTCGTTATAATGGAACTAAAGTCTGTTTCACTTCCCCTCCAGTGATGTGACATCTGCAAGCTCCCTCACGCCTCTGATATCTTTGCCTAGTATTCTTCTGAGTTTGGTGTCTTTAGCCTTCTTGATTGGCTGGCCGCCTGAATGGAGTAACTTCCATGCAGTTGCATGGGAGTTAGTTTATCCCAGCACCCAACGCATACCGAGAAAGAAACATTGCTGGCAGGCAGCAGAGAAACTTTTATTGCAGAAAGCACATACAGAGTATCTTCTGCAAAAGAAACCTACCTGCCATCAATTTTTCATGCTAGGGCTATAGTTTATTTTCAGGGTAACCCTGTATTAAACCTGTGCAACTCGTATGATAAAGAAATGCTTAATCAGAGGTTACCTTCGGGAAAAAAAAAAAACATGTCTAAATGGTTAGTAGATCCAGTGATACAGGCAGCTGAAGTTCTGTTTAAGTCATGACTTTCTCTTCAAAGACCCAAACGCCAAGATAAGCTTTTTCAAAAAAAGTTTTAACTGTGCATATAGCTCCTGCTGCTTAGATTTCTGAATATACGGATTGTTGTGACATCCTTTGCTTACACATTTTTCATCATATGCTCAGTTTAAAATGCCCAGGTATGTAGGAAGTTTTTATCTTAATGTCAAGAATTTGTTTTCGAAATTAATTGCAGTCAACTGCACATGCAAACTGCTGTAAAACAGATTCATAGTACCGTCAAGGTATTTTACAAGAGCCTGAAAGGCCTTTAAAGGATTATAGAGTTAGTTTAGTTTAAACCATGGTAGCGGAGCAGGTAGTAATGCTCAGTCATATGTACAGCAGGTTTAATGTTGTTTAATCAAATACACTTAAAGTGAACTGGTGACCAGGATATGTGCATTCAAGTATTTACCCATTCCAAGAAAGAAATGAGATTTTAAACAAGTTCACTTGCCTCTGTAGCTACAGGCACTGTGAAGCAATGCATGCATTCTAGTCTGTTTCTCAGCAGCTTTAGATCCCCTTTTCCCAGAAAAGGATTACAGATTTGAGTGCCTCTCCTATGAGTTTTGAGGATGAATTGCTCCACGGAGCCTGTAATACAGAAGTTGGTGAAGACTTATTTTAAAGTTCATGTACTGCTTGTTCAAAGTGCCTGAATGTCCATAACCTGGTCACAGGTTTACTTTAATGCCCCATAATAACCCCTGAGAGTTGGCAGCAACAGTAATGCCACATCATCCTTGAAGAAAGTGATAAAGTAATGGTTAAAAAAAATCACAGATTTTTATTTCCTTTTAAAAAAAAAAAATGACACCTGACTGTGCGTTCAGGCCTTAAGGGCATCAGAAGTAAGCGGTAAAGAGGCATCATTGCATAAATCTAAGGCCTGGTTCACACCTGTACGTTTTGTAGCACGTTCAACGCTCTACGAACGCTCTACAAAACGCTCAAACATGAAAATCCCATTGTTTTCTATGGGTATGGTTCACACCTTGCCGTATTTCAGCACGTCTGAACGCGCTACAAAACGACCTACGCCTGAAAAGTTACATGAGCTTCTTTGCTGGCGTTTTTGTTGCGCGTTTCCATTAGGATACAGCCAAGTAGCCCTCAAACGCGTTTGTCGGGGATAAAGAAAACACGTGTCACTAAAAGCGCGACAAACGCGCATATTCGATATGCCTAGGTGTGAACAGAGCCTTAGTTGTTAGAATAACATATCATTTATATTGATTTGTAAATGTGTGCTAAGTGAGGATTTTGTATTGTTTTATTTACCTCATGGAAAGTTGTTTTTCGTTATTTACTGTTTAACATAGAAAAAATGTAAATGTGATCAGACCTGTGATTAGAATGGTTTATACCACAACAGTCACGTTATTCAAAATTAAGGACAGGGAATGTACGGTAGTCTGGAGGCTTCTTACATTTTACCTCAGCCATACCCGTGCAGTGATCAGTTAATATTTAGATATGGCTGTTTCCTTGACCAGAGTTTAGTGTTTCCAGCTGTGTAATGAAAAATATAAATTCATTTGTGTAGAATACTCTGTGGAAACAATTAGGACAATTCCTGACAATGTAAAAAGCAATATGCGAGTATGATTAAAGTAAACCTGCAAAAAATGTACTGCACAGGCTGCTAATTCTGAAAACTCCTGTTGCTTGGCTGTCGTGCTTTCCTGTGGTTTGTGTTTGCTGAGTCACTGCCCCAAAACAAGTATGCACATTACTTGTTTTGCTGTCACTCTGACTGAACTTGCTGCATACTTATTCTTTGTCAGTGTCTCAAAATACTGAACTCAGAAGGTCAGAATTACAGCAAAGTAGTACATCCAGGAGGAGGCCAGCAATGACGACCTATGTTATGAACACATCTTTCCTTTTAAAAAGGCCTTTGATTATTTACAGTTATCTCCTGTTTCCTCCCTGTACAAAGGCGGTTGGCAGTGGTGACGGCGAACCTGGCATTTTACTGAGTGCGCAAACCATCACATCGGATTCAGTCTTAACAACTACAACAACACACATCACAAAGGTAAAGTGCATTGGTCAGTCAAGTGTCCAGTACTAGCATTTCATCCATGCTATCTTCAAGCATGTCTGTACCTGTTGGGGCCCAATGTATAGACCAATACAGCAGCAGTGGGAAAACCATTTATTTAGAAGCTGACGATAACCATAACGAGTGGCGAAGTTTCTCCTGAAGTATATCTATATCAAATCAGTTGAACATACAGCCGTCATAGATCATAGTACTATTAAAAATAAACATTAAGGCTTTCTGCACACTTTTGCTTGGTGTGTTTACCATCAACACATGTTGACGTACATTGACACGCGTTGACATTCAATGCAGTGTGCATTGCAATTTATGTTGAACTGCGGTAATGTGTTTTTATGCATTTCCATTGATTTGAATTAAAAACACATGGGAAGGGGGAGAGGAAGGCAACTTAAAAAAAAAGAGGGGAGGGGAATCCAGCCATAATGTTACTTCCATGATGCAAGTCCATCCATGATGAGAGGTTGTGGCACACTAAAAGTGGATGGACTAAAAGTAACATGTTTATTGTATTAATGATAACAGATGGATATTTATTATGTTTACTTAGTTGAACCCCATAATTTATAATTTTAGGGGATTTAATTTGTTCAAGTTTGTGGCACATTTTATCATTCACTTGGGGTTCAGATTAGCGCTGTTTTATAATCCACAAACACAAGGTATTGCATATTACTGTTTTAGTTGGGACTTCTTAGTTGGGACTGCTTCCAGCCTTACCTCTGAGAAATGCCTATCTCTGGTTGCCATATGATGGTTTAAGTGGTTGTGTATAAAACTGCAAAGCTGACAATACACAATTAGATTAGCTATTTTATGCAAAAAGTCCTATTTGCATAACTCTTGCAACAATTGTGTCTTCTTAAGGCCTGGCTAGTAGCTCAGGACTTGAAATTTTGAGCCCTGTCATAGATAACACAAGTAAATTTGTTTATAAGTTATGTCATATTTTCATGTTATTTGTGATACAGAAATGCAACTAGTAGATATTTTCTTCTTTAGACCGGGAAAGGTGGAATATCTGAAACAAGAATTGAAAAGCGTATAGTTATTAGTGGAGATGCTGACATTGACCATGACGAGGTAAGTTCTTTTTGACTATACAGGAAAAAAAAATGGATTTCAAACTATGCATGATCATCTGACCTGCAAAGAATATATTTAGTCCATATGATATGCCTAGCATAACTTAGTTCTGTTGCAAGTGGAATATAAAATGGTAGACCATGACTATCCCAATTAAAGCACTTCCTGACCTTAGAACAGGACCCATATCCCTATTTTTCTGAATTTTACATTAAAAGAAACCTGTCAGATTAGAAATATGGGAGCTGATATGGGAAGCTTGATATTAAAGGTGTGTATTCTGAGGCTGTCATCTTTATACTTTTTTCATAATTAGGGGCCAAGGTATAACGCAGAGGTATGCGTTACAGCAGCCAAAGAAAAAAACACTGGCACATTATTAAAGCATTGTGTTTTTACTAATGTGCGTAGCTATTTTTCTCTTTTTAGGTTTGATTCATGTGTTAAGCTTTAGTGAGATATCCATATTCCATTGAGTATAAATGCCATATATATGGTACTGCATGGCATTTCCAGGCATTATTGTTCATGATGATCTCACATACACTGACTGAGCAGAATAGTGATTATAGAATTAAACATGGGTAGCAATGTGTTCTTAGTGCTGCTTTCTTAGAAGGTGGTCATACCTGCAAAAGCTAAGGTTTATAATCCAGTTTACATCTTGTGCCTGTAGTTACTTTGGTTGAGGCCCTGCAGATCATGTGATTGTTTTGAACAATTTTACATGGCCATTGATTGCTAGATTCTGTGATTTTATTTATTTATTTTTTCTGATAATAAAAGCCCTTACATCTTAGAGGGATTGATAGCTATCAGTTACTATCGCCCTCTTTATGGGGTGTACACTCCTAACTGCTTGTTACTAAACTGGAGACTTGTCAGCAGGTGGGGGGTTTGGCCACCGGCAGGGTCCGCCCCTAGGCTGTAATTGGTCTTTAGTTTTGTGCCTAGCGTCCTTCTCCTGCAGGTGGCGATATTACCCTACCATTCAGGATCTGCGATCTGTTGCCTGTGTCCTTCAATGAACGGAGAGAAAAGGATTTTACGGTGAGTACAAAATCCTATTATTTGGGTTGGAGGGTTATGTATTAATCTGAGATCTTTTTGAAAGACTACTAAGCTTGTATGTCATGTTGTTGTCATAGGCATTAGCACAAGCGATAAAGGAAGCCAAAGAGCAACACCCTGATATGTCTATCACTCGTGTGGTGGTCCACAAAGAGACTGAGGTTACTGAAGAGGAAGATGAAAACGAACAGTAAGGTGAGCAAGTCATCTGAAATCTCATAACCGTATTTATTTTTGGAGAACATCCTGTGTGCTCCACAGCTGAGGACATTCAGCACTATAAAGAAGTACTATGCACAATAGGGGGAATTTATCAAAACTTGAGCAGTTGCCTATGGCAACCAGTTGGCATCTCTCTTCCATTTGCTCAGTTGATATTTGAAAATGAGAGATAGAAGCTGATTGGTTGCAGTGCAGATCTGCTCGAGATTTTGTCTGCTCCAGTTTTGATAAATTCCCCCAATGACTTTCTTAGTCTCTAAGATGTTTCTAAGGTTCTGCAGAATTTCTGTGTATTTTTATGTAAGCAGAGTTGTTTTGATAAAGGAAGTGGCTAATTTATCCCACTAAAACAAATATCTCATCATACCTCCTCACCTGTCATGATATTTACAGAAAAATGTCATGCTCTTTCATCTTACAATATGAACAATGTAGCCAAAGCAGTAAATCTGGGTATACACGGTTAGAATTTCATATGGACGTTTTTGTGAAAATTCTTGACATTTGATAATGCTTCAGAGACTTGACATTTGTTGTGTGAAATTTTGTTTGTTTCTAACATTTGACTTTGAAATGAAATGGAGTTTCTCGAACAAAAACCACATTCACTGATATAATATCATTTGTTTGGGAAACAAATGCCATCCTGCGCCTTCGATTATTTTCGTCATTGCAGTGGAAATTGGCCATCCACTTAACCCCATTAAGTAGTAGAAAATCGAACAGACATTCTGAAATTATTTTTTTCAATGAAATTCTAAACAATTTATACCCAGTCAGGACACTATCTGCAGGGAGTTTACATGTTCTCCTTGTGCTTGCCTGGCTTACCTCCTGGTACCCCGGTTTCCTCCCGCACTCCAAAGACATGCTGGTCAGTTAATTGGCTCCTGTCTAAATTGGCCCTAGTGTGCATGTGAGATGGGGACCTTAGATTGTAAGGTCCTTGAGGGCAGGGACTGATGTGAATGTACAGTATGTAAAGCGCTGCGCAAATTGTCAACGCTTTATAAATACCCAGCTTAAGACTCAATGTGGGAGAAGTGGCAGAGCTGGGCATTGTATGAAGGCAGGGCCCGATTTAGCATCCACTAGTCCACTAGTATTGCTTCTTTTGATGTGTTGAGTATGTCTGTTTTGTGGTGCTTTGTCTTTTGAAACCATTCTAAACTGTAACATGAAATGTTCCCAGTAGGTGGCAGCAAAGTATTTAACTTCAGTAATATGTACCCCGTTCTTTGCAAATTAAAAATGCACCTGTATTGTACATTTTCAAGCTTCAAATAGATTACATTACATGTTAGTATGGCACTCAGTATTGTTTCCGCAATTAAACTATATTTCATTTAACTAGTAACATCTACTTATCCAGTCGTAGAATGAGTTTGGTCAGTAAATCACCTGTGTAACTTTTACAGTAAGATCAATGAATGTACATTAAGCTATTAATGGGTCATTATATTGCTGTTTATTGTATCATTGTATTGCAAAGTAAATATATAGATCTAAAAGAGGCTGTTACCAACATCTTTATGATCAGCATCAGTAAATATACATGTTTTGTTACTTCATGTTGCTTCATGCCATAAATCTTTTCTGCTTTTTAAAGGTTTCAATGTAGACAAGGCAGTTTCATAGGTAAAATATCTTTAGTTTTATAATATATGCACATGAATAATAGGAACACGATGATTGCTACTACAATGCCAACAGTTGGCCCAGTTACCTCTTTTATGCACTAATACATAATTTAAAGGAGGATTCATATTGCTATATATGACGAGTCTGTGTGACATGGTAAAAAGATCAATAGCAATTCTTACACTGCTTAATTATTTTTAAAATGGTTATACACAGGATATTAAACATATAATTGTACCCGCACTGCTTATATTTCCTTAAGGACTCTCAAAAAAAAGGAAAAGCCTGTCTATAAATCCTGCTATTGAGAACCATTACTCTGACTTCTGAGCGGCATGTTACTGCGAAAGTAGCAGAGAGTAAAGTAGATGTAAATCCTAACAGAATGACAACTTGTTTGCATAAACACTATGTACTATCAATTGCATTATTTAATAAATACTTGTTTTCACCTTTGTTGCATCTCTGCTGTGCTGATCTTCTGCAGCCCCTTTGTAGCCACTTTCTGTCAACATGCATGTGGTCCAGTGACTACTGCATGTCATGTCTCAGGGGAGATTTGCTGATATTGACACTATTAAACCATACCTGTACTATTTGCATTGGCAGTGCCACTTTTATTCCCCTTTGGGAGAGTATTTGAAAGGGTGACAATATAGGAGAGTAATTTGGAGACCTGAACAGGGTGTGGTTACCCTGTAACAGGAAGTGCCTGAACAAGGACCTTCATGGCAGGATCACTTGGTATTCCTTTTTATGGAAGCTGCAGATTTTAAAAATATTGAAATTGACTTCTAATTGCTTTTAACATTTTAAATCTTATTTGAGACTTAGGTGATTTGGGTTTACATGTATTGTGTAAACGTTTTATGGACTTGTGAGGAAAGACCGTAAAGTGAAGTGACTGTAAAAAAAATTAATGTAAATAAAATCAAAAATATTTTTAATTATTAGCAAAGTATATACACAGAAAAAATATCAAATCAAAATTTGGTGTGTCTGCCAATAGCAACCAATCCACTTCTACTTTCAGGTTGTTTTAAAAATGAAAGAGAGAAGCTGATTGGTTGCCATGGGCATTTGCTCCAGATTCTGCTCCAGTTTTTATGAATTCCCCCCTACATGTTTATGAAAGCAGAAGACCAGTAGAATAAAAGGATGGCAGTTGCAATTTTTTATGTCACACAATAATAGCACAACTGTTTATGAAATCTATTTTCAGTAAAGCAGTCATTGAATTTAGTTGTAATTCACACATTTCCAGATTTTCTGTAAGGGATAAAAGAATGAGACCGAGTCAAGTAAATAAATGCCAAATCTGTCACCTGATATATTTTTTACTTAAAGGGTAAATTCATTTTCTTGCAAAATGTGAGAAAATAAGCTTGCCTACAACACTCTGCCACCTCTCCCGGCCCCCACCAACTCCCCGCCCCCGCCAACTCCCCGCCAGATGGTGTACAGTCTATAGACCACACTTCAGCCCCACAGTGGGCATTCAGCATAATCCTCACATGACCACGCTGACCAGTGTGAAGTGGTTCTTATTTCAGGGATTTGGTCCCTGGCTCAGAACACATCTCATTGCTCAGTGAGGTCAGGTGGCTGTGCCAACCAATGAGCACTTAGCATTTGCGAGCATTTTATGCCGAATACTCACTGCAAGGTTAAAGTATGTTGTATGGACCATACATTGGCTGGTGGGGGCGCTCAAAGGTATGCAAAGCAGGGGCCGGGAGAGGTGGCAGTAATTCGTTTTCTAACATTTTGTGGGAAAGTGAATTTACCCTTTTAAAGTAGTATTAAACATTCAAATTTTTCTTCAATAAACAAATATTCATTGCCCTGCAAAGCATTGTTTTACATTTTCGCCCACACACTTCCAATCATCATGTTTCTGAACAGCTGCTTCCAAGTCTCTCATCTTGGCTTCCCTAAACTTCCTGTCCAGTAAAAGATCACAAAGAGCAGTGGAGATTCCAGCAAACTGTTCATCTACTAGCTTGGAGAAGGGAGGGTAGTAGCTTGATATGCTGTGTCTGTGTTCGTTTGTGTAGACAGAGCTTACTAGCACACACAAGGGTGACTGCATAGCACTCTGCTTGAGAAAGGAGTCACTCTAAAACAGGATATCAGGACCAGTCCTCTGGGGACCAGCTGATTGTGCAGGAAACTAAAACTTTAAAACATCAATTAACCACATTCCTTATAAGTGATTTAATCAGCATCTCAAATAGCGTAAAATCCTTTTGACCTAAATATCACTTTAACTTACAAACGTCCTATGTGATGGCACATAAGGAGCGACGGATAGACTCTACATAGTTGTCAAGGGCACCTTAGACCTCTATTGCCTCCTCTGCACTTCCACCAGCTAGTACAGACTGTACTCGATCAGTCAAATACTTGGAGAGATTGAGAAATAGATGTTTCTAGTCTCCCCTCCACTTGTCATCATGTCCCGGGCTCCTGGAGGGCACAGGTCAACACTGGTAGTACAGATGGCAAATAAAGCTGACAGAAGTTATAGCCCTCTGTTACTTTAGCCAAAGGAAAAAGGGTTGGCTTCAGTTCTAGTTTAAGCATTCATTTTTCACAATTGGCAAGATAAAATGCGTTTCAACTCTACAACGCCTTTTATTCCAAAGGTTTGTCTTTCGTTTGTAGAATCTGAGTTTTCAATTCTTTTTTTTCTTATTTTTATTCTGTTTTGCATTTCAATAGAGTGTTAAGCACAACCCATAATTGTTTTTATGAAAGAACCTGAATGGAAAATGCTTATTTGCCCACCTTTCAGCTTTACATGAAATAAAAAATGACTTACAGTAAATGCTGCAGCCTGTCACTTGCACGGCAGTTTTAGTGCCCCTGTAACAACATAGATTTACTACCTATTGATTCTGCCACAAAGTCTGTTATTGTTCAACTTCCTTTAACATGCTGATAACACGGTTCATTCTGCTGTAAAATCACACAGCAGTGTTGTCATCCTGTGGACAAGGTAGTCTTTGAGGGATATGTAGTGCTAAATTGACTTTACATTTTTAGCATAACTGCACCGAGCACTTCAGATAAAAAAAAAAAGATCTAGACTACATGAATAAGAGCTAACGGTTGTAAAACCCTCTGACAGTGTTATATGGCGTGTTCCAACCCCGGTAATTGTCACTTTTGCTGACCTGCTCGGTCATGCTGGACTGCATGGAAATGTGGAGAAAATCGGGATTATAACTGGGCTTCTGGGGACAGACTTTGAGCAGATTTTTAGTTCACTGATTCGTGAGCTGGTTTCTGTAAACAGTGGTTCACAAACTTAATTCGTTCCACGATTCTGGTCACCAACCGAATCAAACTGTGATCATACCCCGATCTCGACTAGAGGAAGCCACGACCATGTGTCAGAGCAGGGAAGATGGCTGCGGTTGGGTTCGTCACACGATGCGGAGTTCGTGAACGGAAACAAAATTTTGCCGTACTTCCTGTTTGCGAACAGAAACGTTCGTGAACCGAGCTACCACTGTAAATAGTTGCTTTAAATGTTAGAACGGTTCATGCTTTGTGGTATAGTTTATAAACTGCTTGATTTTCCTCATGATAGTAACACACAAGTATTATTTTTATTTACCAATCTTTTTTTATCCTTTGTGTTGGTTTGCAGAATAAATCCAGAGCAGGTGTCACAGAATGAAGGAATTTGAACCACGTCCTGCTGCTAACGTTGCTATAAATTGACCAGGTTTGGCAAGCATGACGGGACGCCCGAAGGCTAAGTTGCCAACGTACAACCTCAGCTTAACATCTCTGACCTGTGCTGTTCCACATATGTTTGTTCTGTTTTTATAACCACTTCCTAACATCCATAGCTTTTTAGTATAGTTCTGCACAACTACTTGCTATTTTTTGTAATTCATGGTTATCTGTTGTTGTGAACAATAACCCTTTATAAAACAGACCTCTGAACAGAGGGTGCCGAAAACCTTTGTAACTAATGTAGAATATTTTTTTTTCCCTTTTTTATTTTTACGATCGTCTTAATGAAAGCCTCTTACTGGGGTATATAATTACAGACTATTCAGGTAAATGTATTGTTTAGATGAAAAAGTTTTGTACACGTTTCTTAAATTTTCAAGTCCCGTTTCACATTTCTTGGTGTTTTTTTCTACCTTTTAAAGGCTTTGTTTAGTCTTAAGAATAAAACAAAGGTGTTACTATGGTTGCTATACAATTTACGGCTCTTGTGCAAAAGTATTTCAGGATAAACCTTTATTGCTGCATAGTAGGGGACACACCAGCAGAGGGAGTTCAGCTAGCTAGTATATTCTGGTGCTGCCTCTATCATAATACTGCCCTGCTAGCAGTGAACGCTTTCTGCTTTTTGCCTTCCGGGAGTGAAAACTCAAAACATTCCAGAAAACCTGATCTATAATTGCACTTCTTTCCCAAAAAAGGAAGCAAACGCAGTTTTGGCAGCTTACATCAATGTTGTGCTATTTTTGTTAGTGTACGTAGCTAAATGTTTGTTACACATTCACCTTTGTAAACGCTTTTCTTTTTTATCTGTCTTCATATTAAAACAGACTTGACCTTAAAACTGACAACGTTCTCTAGATCTCTGTAATGATTTCAGTGCAGAAGGATAAGGCCTTGTCTGCCTTTGCTGACCACATCCATTTTGTTTACCACTAGCGATGTGTATTGAGCTCATCTTCGCTTTACCTGTTGTTCACCAAGTGTATAGTTACATTCCAAAATTAGATTTATAGCAGCTTCAAGTTGTATTAAGAATATTTTGCTTTCTGTAATACTGGTAAAATAAAGTTTATTCTGTTGAATATTTTGTGTTTGATTACTGCTTGAAATAAGTAATTTGAATGAAAAAAATGTAAAAAAGTAATGTGAAAGACAATTATCACTATGGTACAGGGTCCACCCTTTCCATGTTACTGTCATATACTTATCACAGCACTGATTTTTGGGGAGTGTCCAGTTTACATGGAAATTAATTGACGCTCTTTATTATAGTAACACTCAGATCAGGTTCACACCTGGATGATCCCGGGACCGCAGGCTTGTGCATGATCGCGCACAGTGGTTGTCGCGCAGCCGCATTGATTTCAATGGGGTCATAGCCGTGCAGCAATTGCTGAAAAAAGGTACATATACCTTTTTTTTTCACGACGCATAAAGTGCAGTTTTTTTCAGCTGCGATTTGCATGGGCAGAATCGCAGCAGGAAACCACTCAATCTGCCTGCTGCGAATGGGGTGCCATTAAAGGAGAATGGCACCACCAGTCCGATCAGCGGTGTTGTGCGATTCGGTGACCGTACAGCCATCCACACAGTTTTTGTGCATGATTGCTGCACAGTCATGGATCACCTAAGTGTGAACCGGGCCTAAAGCAGCATTGTGCGCCTGTGTTCTGTATAAAAGTACACAAGTTGCTAAAGTTTGATATTCATAGTTGATGTTTTCTGCATTCTTTGTCCACAATACTGAGCTTGAAGTGTGAATTCTGTGAACTGACATAGAATACATCCATATGAGGTGCAAGGCTTTTTTCACAGCAGCAAACCGCTGCTTTCCCTGCTCCCAATCATGCTTTTGAAGACACCTTGCACTCTGTGCCGTACACATAACAAGGGCTGAAGATCAGCACTTTGTTGTCACAGTCTTAATTAAAAATAATTGCCCTTTGTCTGTAATTCTGAACCTGAAAATCCCTAAGGTCCTATTAACATCTGTGTGATAGTACATGAATGTTTAAAGGAGTGACTGAGACCTAACGAGACTTCTGTTTCAGTGCTGCAGGACTGAAGCATAGATTCCATTTATTAAACATGAATTATACACAAATAATGCAGAATAGTGGAATCACTTTCTTTACTCGGCCATTCATATAATAGTAAGCAGACAAACTGGACAACCGGTTTTTATTTTTTAAATTGGTTTATAGAACAAAATATGACTACAGAATATGTGAGGTTATAGCAGACAACACATTGCTCTCAAGGCAACCCTGTCAAGTAAAAAAGAAAAAAAAATCTAATGCCAGTTCCCTGCAATAGATGAAATGTTATATTTGCCTCTTCACCCGCTGTTCCCACCACCACTCTGTTCATGTTCAGCACTGCAGCCTCTGGCAGTTTCTTTGGCAATGCCGGATGCTTGTGCCCCACCCCACCCACTGTGGTTCCATCCTTTAAATGCTGTGCCACTGCTGTGCATCCTCTGACATCAATGATGTTGATGTCAGAGGGTGCAACCACAATGCCTGGTGGGGGACAAAGATGTCCAACGTTTCAGGAAGCATTGAATACCAGAGAGAGCCCAACGTTTCAGGAAGTATTGAATACCAGAGAGAGTATCAGAGGTTGCAGTGTGGAAACCAGTGTAGGGTAGGAGACAAGGGACAAGAGGTGAATATAATATTTCTATTACAGCGGACTGGCTTTAGGATTTTTTTTTAAGGTTAGGATATTTGTAAATAAATGTTTGTACTTGTGAATAAAACTGCATGACTTTCCAAGAACCTGAGTGGATAACCCTTACTGACTCTGCCCCCCAGTAATTGCATCCGACCTTCCATATTTAGTGAGACCATCCATTCACCTTACTTTCAGTACCGTTATAAAGTATTTTAGTTAGATTCAGCATGCTTTACATTGTGCTTCTTTGGACTGCAGGCTCTTGTCGTCATAATAAAGCAGTTGCACTCTCTGAGACGGTACAGTAAAGGGAGCTTTGCAGGGACAAGTCTATAATTTTGCCACTTTAGAGATCATTGGTTCGACCTCATCTGGAGTACGCGGTCCAGTTCTGGTCACCAGTACTAAGAAAAGATGTCCTTGAGTTGGAAAAAGTCCAGCGAAGGGCAACCAAACTAATTAGGGGTATGGAGGACCAGAACTACGAGACGAGGCTACTAAATTTAAACATGTTCACATTAGAGGTGAGGAGATTAAGGGGGGATATGATTTCCATGTACAAAATGTTTAATGGTGGTAGCAACATTAGCGATAAACTGTTTAAAATTAACTCCGTTACAAAAACTAGAGGCCACCACCTAAAATTGGTGGAAAAAAAATTCCAGCACAAGGGGCGAAGGGGGTTCTTCACAGTAAGATCAGTTAGGGTCTGGAACTCACTGCCACAGGCGGTGATTTCGGCAAATAATGTGGAATTGTTCAAGAAACTTTTGGACGATTTCTTAAGGGACCGTAATATACAGGGGTACAGGTAATATACAGGGGTACGGGTACTCCTAGAATGAGATCCTAATAGGTTGGACTTGATGGACTAATGTCTTTATTCAACCTCAAATACTATGTAACCCAGAAATGCTTGGCCTGCATTTCAGTGTTCAATTCAGAGCAATTAAAGAAAATAATCACACTAGCTGCTGCAGAGATTTTAGTGAGGAGCACAGCCAGCTGCACAGGAAAAAGATTGCAGCAACAGCTGCACATGCCACCCTTTTTAAAAGGGAAAAAAGGCAAATCTTTAGCCAATTTGAATTTTTTTTTTATCCCAAAGAAAGGACAGGAAGTGAGAAGAAATCTCCACATAAAAGGGTGAATCTCACTTATAAATTTATCAGACCAATGTCCTCACAGGTAAATATTTGTTTTTTTTTAAGTCCATGCATACTAAAAGGAATAACAAAAGACTTTACAATATCAATCACATATTACATCCATCTACGGGGAAAAGGTTAACGTTTTTATGGTCCACCTCTGTAGTAATGTGACAAGGTTGTGGCTTTGAAAGCAGGGTTTGCAAGCTTCCTGCCATGGAGCGTTGTTTCTGCAGAAAGCAGAGAGCCATTTTCAATCAAAGCCTGACGGAGTAGTAAGGGAGTAGCTTTGAATGCAGGGCTTGGGACTTGCCCCTCATGGAGCATCAGCACAAGCTTAGAGAGTGAATGTAAGGGTGGCTCCAGGAGCATCCTGCAAGGCATCATATGTCCTCGTGGACACAGAGATTGGAATGGCTGTTTGCAGAAATGATAGCCTGCACACAAAATGGGACACTAGGTCAGAAAGTGAAGCATGCTGCTAGCTATATTTTTTTTTAAATGGTTTCAATGATACTTAATGGAGTTAAAAGTCTTCACACAATAAGTAGTGTAAATATACACTTTAATTATCAGGGCAAATTCCGTCCACATTGAATTCAGTACCTAATCATATGTAGATGGAATAAGTAAACAGGAATTTGCTTTTCACATGATTGAATACTTGAAATAAATATATTCACACAATTTCTTATCAGCTTCGATAGTAAATCCGCATACCTCTACCATATACTTTGAGATTCGGAAAAACATTTTTGCGTAATGGTACTAGGATTCGTATGGCAGCAAGTGCAAACAAAGGTAAATATACAAGTGTAGCACTCACCCCCAAAGGAGCTGCTGGTTCATCTCTAGTTTGTCTAGAGTTTGTTCTTCAGCTGCCCACCCATTAGCACTAACCGCCCTTCTGGTGCCCATAAACTGATGTCCACTTCAGCAGTAAAATGCTGAATAACCTTTTATTAAACATCTTCACTGGGGAGAGAGGATATAGGGATTCTCGGTTTCCAGGAGTAACTAGCAAGAGCTCCAGACTCGGTTGGCATATCAGTGTAGATCCATTTGGGAGACGGCGGACAGCAACTGATGTAGAAGATCGGCAGGATGGATACAGATTTGCAAGCAGGAAAGACACCGACCATGCTGCTGAAGTCCTCTTAGTTCCAGGGTGCTTCAAGAGCCTGCATTGGTCCCGGTTCTCTTCCTCTATCTGCTTTAAAGGCCTCCTCCATGTTGGAGGCCT